AAAAGCATCTGAAACCACCCCTTCGCCACGGCTTTAACCCATTGAGTTCTGCTCCAAACGATTGAGTTCTGGCGGATCTATCATTATTCCCTGGCGCGCTCCCCCTTGCGTCGGCCGGGGTCGGCGGACAAATCAATTTCTTAAAGACAGTCTCTGGACAAGGGCTGTGAATGTACAGTAGACACATGTAAACACGTTTTTAATCAGCTGTTTGTTGTAGTTCAAAGGAAACAGCTTACACATTCACTTGAACACCGCGGAAGGTCCTGCTGTGTTGCGACCAGAAGTTCCTTAGGATGCGCACGGGTGCTTCTTTCAAAAGCTTATCTGCCTACTTGCTGTGCTCTTTGTCCCATATAGTTATCCATTCCAGCCATAAACAAACACAAGGTCTGTTTGGTTTCATGATCGCTTTGGTTTATGGACATGCTCTCGAGGCTGACAACTTTGTTCCAAAGAAACCTCATTTTTCTCGTCCCGGCGGGGACTCCCTCTGTGAGAAACCCGGCGGTTGGAAGCTTTCCGTCGCTCCAAATCATGAGCGGCACAACGTTAATTTGAGAATCGGCAACTTGGCACGCAATCGTACAAAAATCACAAAGCCAAAAGGAGCCAAAAGGTATCAAACAAGGCATCTTTCTTGATATTTATTGGACCCTTCCAATGGGCTTGATGACGAAATTTGATGACTTTTGACCTATGGGTGTTTACAGTCACATAGAAACACCTCTGAACCGAACACTGCCTTTGGTCCAAGACTCTGTTTGCAGGGCAACTTCTCGTTCTACTCTTTCTGCATATGCCACTTGAAGCTCCTGCCGTACACTTCGTACTCTTCGTGGAACGACGTCAAAGCACGACGCAGCATGTCTCTGGGTGCATTGGAACTGCCCCGACTGATATCCATTGATGGAGGGGTCCGCAACAAGGGAGTCCTCAACGTTTACGTTGATATTGATGTTCATTGATACCCATTGGATTGTCACTGAAATTGTGCAGTGCAGGAGTCCTGCAGTGGAGAATGCATAGCTTTATCGCTTTGAACATTGGAGTGAAGGCAGGTTCAGTCGAAGCCAAGACTTATTATGAAGGGAAGAAATCGTACAAAACTATTGCTTACTATTGCTTGCTGCTCCACCTGCAAATAATATGTGTAAGCGACAAAAAACAATACAGCTGTGTAGTTCTGGGAGGCGTTCTGCAGGTCTCTTCCTTTCCTCACAAACACATACGATCAACAAACTCAACCCAAGGAATGGGAGTTGGAAAAGAAAGGATCTTAGTCACAAGCATTTGACAGTCTTGAAACTACAGGCGGCCCCGACCACCAGCGGACACGAGTCTGCAGATTTTGAACCAGCATGTTTATGTTTCTACCAGAATGACCAACCTGTGGCTTTTCGGTCAGCTTTGGCCGTACTATAAAAAACTAGCTGAGGGAGGCAAGCGAGGGGACATATTCAATATTCATACCTGCACACGGTAAATGTGCGCGGTGCGTTCGTGAGACTCATATAAACCATACACATCTATACAGTCTATACTATACACTGTACATCACTGTACATGGGGATAGAACACTGAAAAAACCTCCGAACCGATCTGGCGCGCCTCGCCTGAAGCTGTGTTTGGGTGTTGGCGATTTCCACGTCGAACTGATCTGGCAGGTCGACATCTTGGAGTTGCAGGCCTCATCGATGTGGTCCCAAGACTTGGATTCACGTCGATTATGGTGCGTGACAAACGAGGATCCGGAGACACAGGGACCACAAGCTGGAGGTCGTAAGTTGTACCATATCAAATGAACCTGATGAATAGAGTTCCCCCTGAAGGTAAATGATTGGGAGGTGTTCACTTGTTCACTGGTTATTCTTCTTCTTCTTAACCTGCAATGCTGGTGGTCTGTGTCAAAACTCTATGTTCAATTATGCACTATGTTGACGGCTGATCCTACCTAGGCAGTTTTCTCATCTTTTCTATCAGCGCAAAAGGCTGAACTGGACGTTCATTGACATTTAGCTCGACATGCACTCACAGCTGGCTGGCGTCAGAACTTTATATGGCATGAGAGACAACAAAGAAGCCTTGCCATTGCATGGTCCATTTGTATTGAAGCGATCTGATTCAGTGATGCTCAGTACGGACCAGCTCCCAATTCCTTGGGTCGTTGGTCATCTCCCCAGCATCCAACCGGACGGCAGGCCTTGGATGGTGCACTCCAGGCCTTTGTCAGGTTGTTTGAAGTTGCTTTCTAGATCCTGACCAGCGAAGAACTCCGCGGAGCAAAGAGTGATGAGCGATGAAACGAGTGGAGAAAACATTAAACAATTGTGAGTGTTTTGCAAATTCGAGAAGCAATGCTTGGCACGCGAGAGGCATGCGCGGTCAGGGTGCATGCTGTTCGAAGCTAAGTAAACAAGTCATTTGACCCTCAAACAATGCATGCTGGAACGTTTCATCTTTATTGTCAACGATATTCACAACGTCAGCCAGAGCTAGTTCATTACTTAAACGCAAATGTGATCAACCAAGGAAAATGGGCCCAAAGACGTGAAAATCATAAAAGCCATCCACATCATACCTCAACTTCACTCGACACGAGCCACGACCTCCAGCATCCTGGCTGTGATCAGGGTCCGGTTGGTGAAGTACATATCCGCTGGGTAGTAAGAACCTTGCAGGAAACTGAGCCAGCGGAGATGCTCAGCGTCCAAAGAACTTGCTTGATTCACGAACAACTGACTTAATTTGTGCTGGAAACGTCAGTCAAGGAGATTTAAAGGTTCCTGAGTTAACGTGTGTTAAAAAATACTTTACTTCGAGTGACCCCACCATGACATTTCAGTCTGACAAAGTTTCTGGCATGTATTGAATAGTTATTTTGGCATTCTTTCTTGCATGTCTTCTGACGTTCTTTCTGGCATATCTCTATCTGGCATATCTTCTGACTCGCGGTTGAGGTCCGCGGGGAACACTGCCATCTGGAGCTGGCGGTTGAGGTCTGGAGGAGGCGGAGGAGAAGGAGGAGGACGAGGACGAAAGCTGACATAAAACCTAACAACCCTCACCTGACAGGTGGCCCATTGAATGATTGAAAGTTTCGAAAGGGTGTGTGTGGCCCAACCAGATCCAAGCAGCTTCCTTCTATGTTTCTACTTGATACAAACTGACTAACGCTACGGCTATTGATGTTTTGCCTCATAAACTCGGACTGCAACTTGATGCTGAGATGCAGGTGTTGATGATTGCAGCCCTCGCAAAGCGCACAAAGGCGTCATCGTAGCCCTCCTCTCCCAACAAGTAGTAGAGGCCATGCAGTGCCTGCATCGCACCAGTTTCATGTTACCGGCCTCCCCGAATCTCCCATGATCAATCTGTCTAGTATGTGCATGTATATACTAGTTATATATATATATACACAATACAATATACAATCGTGCAAAACCTCTTATGTGTTGTAGTGCGCACTCTTCCCAAAGTTAACGTTTTTTGCTGTGAACCTTATCGTTCCTGAGGGTTTGGACACACCTAACAACGTGTACTAAAACCTTATCGTTACTTTTTTTTGTGAACTTTATCGTTCCTGAAGGTTTCCTTCACTTTACTTACTTAGTCTTCACTGTAGTGATGCTGCCTTCATCGGAGGTTTTGGCAGTTGCTGACATGATATGCATACATTGATTGGTACACAATACTTTGAGAGGGTTAAACACGGACAACTGATGCCTTGCAAACATATTTGTAGCAAACCTGTGGACCTAGACATCTTGACAACCCGCTTCAGGGCCCTGAAGTCATCGGTAAAGAACACAAAAGCTCAAACAGGCTTCGAACAACAGCAGTATCTACTACACATGTTCAAGATTGGATTATATTGGAAGCGTCTCTTTACTTTCTGTACGAAACACAACGTACCTTTTGTTAGGACATTTGTACGAGCATGTGGGATGTGTGGCAGGGACGAGCAAAGAGTACAAATGGTATACAAATGTAAGAAATCGTGCTTGCAACTCTGCTTTCAGCCGTCGCTGGTGACGATTCCTGAATAGATCTTATATACAGAGATTTCGGGAGTATGTCAATGTCGGTGACTCTTGCTGACTTGATTTCCACCAAAGGCCTGCGGTTCCAGCTTCCATTGGAAGCTCACTGTGACCTGAGCCAAAACAAACACGAGCAGCCCCTGATGCCGACCACAGCAAACACTTTGTAAGTAATTAACAGCATGTGAATCATCCAGCTTCACAGCTTCACATAATTTTCGTATATTTTGATTCATGTCTCCCAACATCTCCCAACTGTGGCTTTGGACCAAGTGCTGCGTTGCACACTTGGCGCCCATGCATACATCTCCAGTCCGTCCGCAGAGCGTGCCCGAATAGGGGACTTCACCATGGGTGGGAAGGCGCTTTGGGACGTGGCCTGACCAGGTTCCGAGCAGGGTTACAATGTTACAACAAATCAACAGATTGGAGGTTGGAGCCGGGGACCAAATGAGCAAAATCAGAACATATCAGAACCACAAGAGAAAAAAAAACAAACACAAAATACTCGAACCACCTGAATCGGCAGTAGCCTGAGGCTAGCTAGCTACATCCTGCTGTATCAAACTTGGAGTAGGTTGCCAGGAGTTGCTTTGGCACAAAAGAAGTCAATCGGCATTAGAGCCTGTTTCGGCATCATTCGACATGCCTTGTGTCCCAAAAAACTCCGCCGGAAGTGAATGAGCGATGACGTGCCGCCTGCACTCCCCGTGTTGATGACGTGAAGTACATCGTCTGGAAGGTGGAGGGATATTCCAGGAGCGCATTGCCCAAGCCAATGAACCTGCACCATGTGCTTTGGCATGGGACATTTCAAGAAACGGGATCTCCAATCGAAAGGGATAGAAACTCCAACAAAATCCCAAACCTCACTGAGTTCCACCTGGAGCTGGGTGATTCAGTTGACGGGAAAGTAAGAACTCATCCGAGCTGACTTCCTGCCTCATCCCGGCCTGTGTGACCTTGGGGCATCTTGCACTCCCATACCACTCCAAGACTGCATACAGTAAGACTACAATCCCTATATAGAAGCTTCGCTTCACAAGATGCAAATCTTCCATCGGGTGCCAAGGGGCCGGTTCGTCCAGGATGCTCTGGGAAAGCCAAATCCTGCAGCACAAAGCTTCTCAGTGGACTCTCAACCAGGTCGACCGGAGATTGAGCGGAACCCTTCGCCAAGCTAGCTGTGAGTGCATATGATCTAACAAGTGCATACACAGGCTCGTTGTTGGAGGATGGAGCTAGTGGCCTCCACTTAAAATGGTCAATATCCATCCCTTCCAGCGTTGGAAACGCTCTCCCCTCTGAGCTTTCGGCAAATGCACTGCATACTTACCCTGTTCCATGGACCTAAATGGCCGAACAATGGGCATTCCCGAGTCACGGATGGATCGAAAAGCGAAAATTGGGCAGCGTATTCGGAGGGCGTTGGTCTGGATCTAAAGCGTCCCAATGTGACCATAAAAAGAATTCCGCCGGGGGTTCTGAAACGGATGAAGAACTTCTTGCGGATGCCACTCAGCAACATCGATTCAGAGGCTTGCTCAGCAGTCTGGCTGAAGCTCTTGCAGTTTGCACAAGCAGGATTCAAACTGATATCTCATCGGAACTAGGGTCAACCTCGGAACCATCTGGTTTCCGAAGTACTTGGTAATGCTTGAAGTGTATGTACGGAATCCCATAGTATCTTCACCTCTCTTAAGAGATTAATCAATACTTTACGATGTCTTAATCACTTCAAAGATCCCTGGAGAAACGCCAGCGTGCTTCAAAAGCTGCTGTGCTGCCATCGAGCCAAAAAGATCTTCAGTCGAGAGACTTGATGGAGAGAATCACGGCCTTGGCAAGCCAAAGGAATCGGTTCTTCAAGCGGCTCCAGCAACCCAAGTGATAAATGCTTTTTGGAGCTATTCCAAGGAGCTTCTAGTAACAAGTGCCACGCTAGTAGTAACAGGTGCCTTACTAGTAGTAACAAGAAGCTATTAGGAACAAGTGCCATGGTTTCTGGGAGGTTTGTAGGACAACTCCTTCCTGCGACTGGACATTGACCTGAAACACCGCAGGGAGCAACCATGGAAAACGGCTTCTTGCGTTTTGCAATGACATGTAATAATGTAAAAACAGGCCGAGATAATACTAAACAATCCATGATGTTTTGGATACAAGAAGGGGCCCTGAGGAAGAAAATTCCCAGCTCTGATCTATCCACTCTGAATACAGCTTCTCACCCACTCCGCACGAACAGCATAACCTTGGAGCCTGCTTGAGCCTGCAAAGTCACCAGTAGAAATATTAAAAACATATGCTTTCTGGAACACTTTAGAATCTCAAACTGACAGTGTTGCTGTGTCTATTCTTGATGGACTCTGGAAAAAGGAGGGATCCGAAGCAGTGCACCTTTGGTCGCCTGCAGTGAAATGGTTTGAATGAGGTTGAATCCCACCTGCAATCAATTGATGACTGAAGCATTTGGGTGTTCGGTGTTTACAGTAGTTCTATTGTATCATCCCGATTGGACTCTGCAAATCAGCAAAACACAGAGCTGGGCAAGCCGGCAACAATTGCGAAGATGGTCCAGAAACAACCTGAGTCGCTGGCAGATGTGGATTTGACAAAAGGAAACAGGTATAATATATAATATAAAATATAATATATATATATATAATATGTACCAAGCATGTGTATGACCAGAATAACAGGTATCCAGGAAGAAGGTACATGAACAAAAATCCGCACGGGCTTTCTTTGTGTGGCGTGTGGCCATACGATGATACCAAATGCAGTGAGCTGCTGACTGCGTACCCAGTCTAAACAATGGATTTGATGCTACACACCAAGCTGCAAGGAACACATACTGTTGGTGAGCCCTTTCTTTCTTCTGACTGCATTTCAATCATGAGATTGGTGTTCTTTCCAGCTCGTGGAAGAACATCTTTGGTTCGTCTGGAGGGTAAACGTCCAACATGTGTTCATGATTATATATCTCAGCTTTGTAACTCGAAACAAGCATCCATACTTGTTTCTTGGAAAATCTTGGGTATTGAATACTAGAACACTCTGAAGGAGGAATATGTATCCCATGTTATGTGGATGTGCTTGGAACGAGCACAAAACTTGTTATCATTCTTGCATGCTGTATGTATTCTCAGTTGTTTGGTGGGTCCATTAATTGAGGCCATGCCGATAATGCACATATTCTGTTGAAGTTTAAGCTGGAACCGTATGCAAATCTTTCTGCCGGCCAGTGACAACAAAAGCAGCCGCATGCCTTGAAGACCTGTATTTGCTCGATCCCCATGGCGTTGAGCGCGAAGCTGTGGTAGCTACGCTTTGGAACTCTATCCAATGAGCATTGCGGGCTACAAAGATCGACGGGCGAGATGTAAAGCATGTCAACTCTCGGCAAGTTTGTGTATATAGTTCAGAACTCGTTCTGTAAACACAACAAGCATGTCAAGTCAGCATGTTTCTGCATATCCTCTATCAATTGCATCTAGACTCGAAAATACTCTATATATAGATGCTTATTCGGCTATTTGTGGGCACTCTCCCCATTGATACAGCTGCTAACAATATGAGGATTGGAAACCTTTGCATGACCAGGTCTTAAAATGACGACTCCGTCTCCACCATTCCAAAAACAGTCTCGGCCCCGCGCCCTGAGACATCAAGCCCGAAAAGGGCCGTGGCTCGCGCCTCCCAACCTGCAAGGGGAGGCGCATATTTCGAAGAAACCCTGACTCACTTGACTCAGTCTCAAGACTCTAGTAAATCATGGTAATTAATGATCCAAATAAGCACAACATATATATATATATAAAATCAAGTCTTTTATGCATGATGAGTCACCCAGGGTCTGCCCAACCATCTAAAAGCAGCATCTTCTGTAGCCATGTTCCCTTCACGAAGGCTTGGATGGGGTCAGGGTGGAATCCACCTTTCTCCCATCAGGTGGATCCTTGGGCCTTCACCCTTCCCTCCCCTTCTTCGAGCCCAACACCGCAGCCTTGGCTGTCCTCCTCCTGCGATTTGTGAGAAAAGAACAGAGACAAATGAACAAGTTTGGTGTGTCAACACTAGCCACGACAGCAACCTGCAAAATGAACAGAAGAGTCCAACGACAGTGGGATGCTCATTTATCAAGAGTTTGGGGTGTGTGAATGGTGGACACCTTGTGGATGTCGACCTCTTCGTGTCAACCCAGGCCTTGGATTTGAACATCAACCTCCCAAACTGGGGGAAATGGATGAAAACATATGAACACCATTGATTGGGAGGTTTCCACTTTCCACAACCAAGTGTAACATAGTAAGATAGCAACCCCAAAAAGGACTCCTTCACATTTCTCATCTCCGCTGTATGTTTTCAAGCAAAGTCTAACATGCTCTGACGTGCAAGGCAATGTCCCCCAGGCACTGCCAGCTTGGGTCTTTCCAGCACTGGAAGCTTTTCAACATGGATATCGCACCAGGAGGGTGTTTTGAGCCGTTTTCCTCTACCAATTGACCCGTTTGTGGTACCCAATTCTTGCCCCAAACCCTTTGGGTCACCGGCCGCAGTCCTTTGGAAGACTGTAATCAAGCAAGCGTTCCAGGGTCACAAGGTCCTTAGTGTCACCCGTCTTTGGTCTCATGTCCAAGGGCATGTGGGGTTCACACGCCGCTTGTCTGCGTACAGTCATACAAAAGAAACACAGAATTTCCTTCAGACGCCCCAAACAAACATGTAAATAATGTTCACGGATCCAGAATTCCGTGCCCGGCATGCCCAAAACATCAAACAACATTTGGTGATTTGCTACCACTACGTCAGTTCTTTGGGGAGATGAGTCGGAAGTTGATGGGTCTCAATATTCTTATGTTGGCAGGATCAGTTGCACATCAGGGAAAGCCAAGTCAACCGGGAGTCGTTTGCACGTTTTGCTTTTGCTTCTTCCGTCATACAGAATTCATCCCTTGTTTGTGGAAATAAACGCCTTCACCCCAATCCAATGCATCCCGTGACATTGAGAAGGGTTCGAGACTGGTCACAGCTGCGTTGGTGTGTCTGGAGGTTTTGCTCAATCCTCCTTTACTGTTGTAGTCGGTCTACTTTCGACTATGGGGATCCTGGAGCTCCCTTCGCCAAAATAGAATGGCCAAGTATCCGAGATCTCGGGTCACCGATACATTCGAGTTGACGTTGGGCAAAGGTGTCTTTTGGGTTTAGTGTCCACGTGGTCTACTTATGGACTTCCCCATTGATTCGAGTTCATACTCCTAGTCACGGGGTGCCTTAGAACCGAGCAGGAGCAGGAAACTCATCACGGTATCGTGATAAAACAAGCGAATTCACAGGTTGAGCTTTCGCCTGGATGTGATTCTGGTATGCGAACGCACAGGCTTTTTCTTCACTTAGCTGTCGTAATCATGGAAATCTGCATGTTACGTCGCAGAATGCATTATTTGACAGGCGGAGCTCAATTCCTGCATGGAGATGCATGGAGGTATTTGGCGCTGCTGTTGAAAGCTGTTGTTTTTTGGTGCAAACATCGACCGCGGAGAGGGAGTCATCGGTTTTGGCAGTTCCCCATGTGGTTCCTAAATTCGTCTACTTCGACCATCCATGACCATCCCTTCTGCTCCAAATTGCTCAGTTCAAGCTCTTTGGTCCCACACCCCTTGCTCAATAGCTTCGCGAAGGCACGCCTTGCGTGGGGTCCACAACCATACAGCTTGCCACGCTCATTGGGTGACCAACACGAGGATTGATCGATCTGAATAGATCTGAGGTAATGCAATGATAAACAAGACACAAGACTCGTTCAGCTACAGCTTTCAGCTATTGCCTGACCAATCAATAGCCAGCATCATGTCATCAGCATTGTAAGATCTTCCTACACCTTCATCAGAGTTGCCCGCAATTTTTTGGTGTGATCTGTGTGCTAAATTCTAATGTATAATATTGTGTATATATACAGTATATTATATATATATATTTAATACATATATATATACACATAATATTATATGCAGTATTATGAATTGTATATGTTGCAATCCAAACAAATAACAGTCTTGTTAAAAACACTCCAAGTTCTGTTGACTGACTCTGCGCCTGGAGCGAGGCAGAGGCAACACTGCTGGAGGATGCAGCCTCAGCCAGCCGGATCTTTCAAACAGGCGGAGGCAGCGCAGCCAAAACATCAAACCATCGAATCAGTATGACACGCAGACTCCAACCCAAACTCAAGACAAGTGGGAAAAACAAAGCATTTTCTTTTTTCGCATCTATATACTGTAATTGTTCTTTTCCATGGATCCGTGCAGGGACCTTGCTTTCGCAGAACGGGACTTATATCCGCTTTTCCACTCAGTGCCGTGCAAGAGTGCAAAAGACCGAAGGATAGCCAGTCCCTTCCTGCCAACAAACCAGCTTGCTTGCTGACTCCAAGCACCGCAGTTTGGAGACCCTGAAGGAGGCTCAATGAAGAGTGCGTATAAAGTATGCATAAAGTCACTCCGAACCGAATATCTCCAAACAGAATGTGGACTTGTACATGGCCCAACTGTTGCAACTGACTAAAAGCATCTCTCTCCGAAAAGTCTTCAACGCTTCAGCGAAGCTGTGCTAAGGATATTTTCCGAAGCCCCAAGTTCAAGACACTGTGGCACACGCAGCCGATTCAAACTCTAGTGGACCATAGCCCCCCAGTTGTATCTGAGTTTCAAGCAGTCCTGACCTGGAGAGACTTTTGTTTTTGGGAGTGCGCTCAGCCTTTCACTTTGGACTGGGGCTAGTTTGCTTCTTGGTCCACCAGTGCCTTCAATTGGGCTATGCCTGCGCTGAGCAACTGGCTTAGTGGCTTCTTGTGCCCCTTCAGGGGCCTTCGTTGATTTGGACACCCCTCACATCACGTTTCGAGGCGCGCTAACAAAGCGCTAACTAGCTGGCACCCTTTGAGGCCAAGAAGTCTGCATACTGCATGTCGTAAAGGCTGGTGTGTTCGTGAAAGTCCTGCGACAAGCTCACAAGCTTCAAGGACATCACTGCAGCTTTCGTTGCAGCCAAATGCAATGCTTGGCTCTAGGCTTTAACAAGACTCAACGTCGACTGTTTGGCTCCTTAAGAAGATCCTTCACAAACCCTGCTGGTACGGTCCCTCTGGCCAACTGTTTCTGCACCTTGCAGGATCTTGCAGGGAGACAATTTGTCACGAATAGTCACAAACAAATGTGTCTGGATTCCAATACAGTGTATGGCAAGTTTGACCCCTGCCGTTCCTGCTAGCAGTTGCTAACAAGCGATCAAGTGTACATATGTTACTATATATATATATACTGTATATATACCCTCATGGAGTTGCATCATGGCTTTGCTTGGGGCTTAGAGAAGGTGAATATACCATGATATCATACCCCAAAAAAATGCAATTGAACTCTTTCAAAACGGCGGTGCTGCAGGTCAGTGACCATGCAGCATCATATTATTATGGCAATGACCATCTCTCAAAGCACAAGGCCCTTGAAACTCCCTGTGAAAAAATGGATCAACAAGCTGTACATTTCTTGAGTTTTCCGAAAAATCTAGAAAACAAATCATTAGTGCGAGGGCTTCTTCAAGGAAGCTCCCCGCCCGCATGCCGGGGTAGCTTCCTTGAAGAAGCGTGAGCTATCCTGCGTTCTAGGTAGCGTACTAGTAGCTAGTAGCTACCTCTCGCTTACTTAATTAAGTAGGGCAGTCTCTACTTAGTTAAGCGGAAAGAGGGGGAGCGGGCTTTAAAAAAGGTCCAGGTCACGCAACATGGTCAAGAAGTCCCAACAATGTGAGTGTCATGCGAATGACTCCACTCAACATGACGCTCGTCATAATGCAGGATCATGTCAACATTGTCAATTGGTTGAGAATATTTTTTGCGATCTTGTGAACTCCCATATATAATTATGGAAGTCATGACTGAAACATACTAAACCATCTTTTCAATTGAGCCGCAACCGAGAGTTTCTTAGATGTTGATTTGACAGTGTGATGCCACTGGGTAAGTAAGCAAAAGCACATGCCGGAGGAAGCCTAGATGCCACAGCCTTGAAAGCCAAATAACTCAATCAGTGGTCATCGTGCCTGTGTTCTTGTCCTATCGTGGAAACCAGTATTTTTAAGAACACACTTTGACGGGGAATTCGCGACATCTGATGCTGTTTCGCTACTTGTGCAGTATGTCATTATTGAAACATACCGCAAACTGTCAACCGAGGATTACATATTTGGTACGCGGGGACTTTATCATGAACTCATGGCCAGACTTGGGACCCTGAGCTTTACCGCGGCCGTGGATCCTTCGCCCAATTTGCTTCGATCATTTCCTATATCTGAATTCAGCCCTACAGTATCCTACAGTAACCATTGCAACATTTGACTATTCTTCGTGTTAAGGCAAGCAGGCAGTGTTGCCTTGTCCAGCAAACGATGATGCTCGTCCGTGTGACTCTTCTTGGCGGACAGCTTTTCCTGAGAAAAACACGGCACGCACGCATCTGCACGCATGATTTCTAACTTCTACGTGCAACTTCACAGCATCACACTGGGGGACTTCCCCTGATTTGAAATACGCCCGTCGGTATCTTGAAAAAGGATCCCTAACCCTTCGGAAGGCCGTGGAAAGCCATCAAAAACCTGGAAACGACTGTTGGAGGTGAATCCTGCAAATGGATGAACCTGTAACCTCAATTAACAATATATTATATATATAACATGGGCTCTTAATGGGCAAGCTTTCAAGGCTCGCGCGTTCACATGCACGCCGAAGCCAAACTGCTCAAAGAGCTGTTCCTCACAAGCAATGCCCCGGTGCCAAATGCATCTTTGAGAGCCTTTGCGTGTGATACATGACTTCAAACTTACTTGTATTGGCCGGATTCATCGGGAATCACTTTGATATATGCCCATCTAGTGGCAGTTTGCCTTGCGAAACTGCTTTGACCACTTCGGCATGACTCGGAGATGGTCCTGCCATGCATCTACCGTCTACCCCTGGCGACTCTCAGGGTATGCTGATTGACTTTGAAGGGAAAACAACATAGCAACCTTCTTGGTTTTCCATGACGACACCATTTAGGCCTCCCATGGCCTCACAAGGCTTTGAATGCTTTGAGCCCTTTCCCGGGAAAACAAACACAAACACAGCTGCTCTGTCCGACATGGTCCTCGTGCAAAAAGTGATCCGAGAGGCACTTTAGCACGTCCTCGGCAAAAACTGAGGTGAAGCTGCGACGTTTGGTCCAAGGAGGCGGGGTGTACAATAAGCTAGTAGTAACAAGTGCATTGCTACTAGTAACAAGTGCCTTACTAGTAGTAACAGGTGCCTTACTAGTAGTAATGGGTACATCGTATTTTTGTTGGCCGGTTTTTGTACAGTACACACATTCATGGATGTGGCTCATAATGTCTTTCCCAAGCCTCTAGGACTCTAGAGATTGTGTTTCGCACTTGACCCTAAGCCTAAACCAGCTTGATTCGGAAAAGTTTGCAACACCACCTGGCATAGGAAAGCACAGACACACGAACCTGCCATGAACCTGGTGTTTACCCACCCACCAAGTTCTTACCCTTGCCAAACTGGTAAGCACGCAGAGTTAGAACAGCTCTCATCTACCAACCCGTGGGTTGTTAAGCGTCTCCGATGAAATTCGAGTTTCTAGCGATTTCTACCCAACTGGAGCCGAGACGGTCGAGCCTGCAAGGATTCCTCAGACCTGCCATTCCAGAGCGGAGAATGCTCTTCAGTCGCCCCAAAAAGGGGCCGAATGCTTCACGAACGGGAGAAAGAACAGGTCGTGATGGGGAGAGGCGCTGGAGAGGCTAGATGAAAATCTGTGACGGTCTCGCTGTTAGTCAAAACCCTGTTTCATCCTGTTAGCATGGGCAGTTGATCAAGTTGAAACGAGTAGGATGAGAACATCAGCTACGAATCCCGATGGTTTGTGTGTGAAAGCAGGGAGACTGAGACAAGCTACGAATCCATCTCCATTTCCTTTGGTCTTTGTCCAAACCGAGCTTCACCGCTTTCCACAAGCCTCCACGCCCCGCCTCTTCTCCGCCAGCACACGCAAGGCTTTGGCACACTCTGCATGCTCCGAGTCCATTGAGGACACCTCGACACGGCGACGGTGCAGAAGCTCCGCACGCTGAGACGAGACGGAGAGAGACGGAGAGACGTCTGGAGCCTTCACACTGGCAATGTCCAGGGATTGCTCCAGGAAGTCGGCGTCGATTTGGCACCTGGGACGGGGGGGTAGGCCATAGAGGGAGGCAGTAGCTAGAAGTAGCATGAAGTAGCTAGTACGCTACTAGTATGGACACACGATAGCTCTATTCATTTGGTTCCTAGATTTTTGGGAACCTTAACTACGGATACACAATTTCACAAAGGATATTATGCACTCAGGACCGACAGTCTCTAGGCTGACCAGCCGATCAGTGGGTGGAGAAGGCTTTCCACTCTTCAGGTGTTGCAACTGGGCAGGGAGTGGGTAGGGAGAGAGGCAGCTTTGTTGGCTCGGCTCCTTTGTTGGCTGGGTGGCTGTGGTCGCCCCGGGAACACCAAAGCTGCTGCTTTGATGCTTGCTGCGGAAGGGCTCAGGGGCAATTTGGGCTCGGTGCAAAACCATCTTGCTCCTTAACACATGTCCCCCACACTGATGGCCGTTAACTTGCTGACTTGTTCTTTCTGCACGTCTCTTCCAGAACCTTCTGCAGTTGGCAAATGCAAAGCCAAACGCACCATACGGCTCGCCAGGAGATGCGGGCCCTTTACCCATTGAAGTCACCTATCCCAGCGATCAAAGAATGAAGGCAAGAATAACAATCGCTTTTGATAGATGGTTGGGAATCTGATACGAACTGGATGCCATCCTGGAGCCGCAACGGCTTCGCCGACCGCTTAGGCTTAGGCCTCGCTTTGGCCAACCTGTGACCTCCCGTAAGGCCGGCGCTCCGGCTTCTCGCAGCTGCTTGGATCACATCCTGAGACGCATCGTCCAGTCCAAAAGCATGTGGCTTAGTAGCGATGCACTTGTTACTACTAGCGTGGCACTTGTTACTAGTAGCTTCCTTTTCTTCATAATATGGTTTCTATGCTCAACATGGGGAAAGCAGTGGTAGTGTGCCAATTTAAATCCAGGGGGGCAACGGTTTACTTTGATCTTCAGGATGTTTGGGGAACACTTGGCTCAAAACCAAGAGCATCCATCGGGGGATACTTGGTGGAAATCAATCCGTGGGATCAAAAAGAACTCAGTCTCCATCCAGCATAAGCTTACCAGTGTCCATCAACATAAGGCAACACTACCCGGATACAGTCTGGCAAAATCACGATACACCAAAAAATGTAGTTTAAGAACCAGGAACAAGTACTTTGGGAACCTTGAATATCTTGTGGTACAACACACAGTTGAAATAATTGGTGCTCAAAAAACCTTAATGTCCTGTTGGCTTGCAGGAACCACTGCCACAGCTTCCGTCAGCACAAACGTCCTGGACAATTGAAGTCGTTCTCAAGTAGAGAAATGGGCATAATCTTCCTAAAACATTCTTTTTCTGGAACTGGAAGATCCACAAATGTCTATCACAACTGAGTGACTGGCCGGCGCCCTTTCTTTCACCCATAGGATCCCATAGGTGCCTATAGTTACAGTTACGCCTCGCCGCTGTTGGATATCAGGATTAGGCAGTTCCCCAGTTTGTGCATTTTGTCCCCTAAACATCGCTATTAGTTTCCCTGAAAATCTAGACACCAAATCATTAGTGCGTGGCGTGAGCTATCCTGCGTCCATACTAGCAGCTACCTAGCTACTACTAGCTACCTCTAGCTACTAGCGGCCTTTACTCCCCTTGAAAAAATCTAAACGTCGCGGTTGACATTGACCCACTTGGGGCATCGTCGCGGTCCTTGCAGCTTGTGCCTTTGTCACCGCATTGGCCAGAGCCACAGGTTCCAACACCACAGGTGCCCGTCCCGCAACTGGAGCCGCCTGACTCGAGAACATAATCTGGCTCCGACCAGAGCGCCCCGGCAAAACGACCATCAAAACATATCAAAACTCTCCTGATTTGAGAACTCATCGATGTTGTTCTTCAGAATTGACAAAAGGCTGAACAGCTTCAACAACGCCTCCACCGCCTCCACCCTCTTCGTCCAGGCTCAAGCGTCTCACCTGGAAGACAACATAGAACAACTGGGACTTGTGGGAGGATTCTTGGACTTGCCAGATCTTCTAAACAAATATGAAACACAAACAAACAAACAAACAAACAAACAAACAAGCAACCAAGCAACCAAGCAACCAAGCAACCAAGCAACCAAGCAGGCAGGCAGGCAGGCAGGCAGGCAAGCAGGCAAGCAAGCACGCGAACAAACGAACAAAAGAGCAACAAACAAGCAAACAAACAATAAATCAAACACACAAACACACGAGGTGTCTTTCAGTCCAATCTTTGTGCACAAATGCAATGCTTCAAAGGAAGATGTTGTATCCCATGGTCTTGTGCTGTCTTGCTTTGAAGAGGGCAACCTCCTATGGTATTCCTATACTAGTTTCTTGAAAAACTTGGACCTCGTGTGTCTGCCTTAAAATATCTTATATAAGATTATTATTCAAAACACAAAACATATCCTGTGCTGCATCTACCCCTGAAAACAGCAAAATTCAATGATCGTTGATCCTGGAAGCCTTTAAGTGAATCCTCCTTTTGAATCTGAGCTGAGGACCATCGACTGGTGGAAAGACATCATCTTTCCCTGGTGCGGACCATCCTCACAGCTTTGAGTCTTGTGAATCAGGTGGATGGGTTATGAATCCAAGGATATCCAAGGCCAGGGCCATGAAGCCGAAGTCAACCTGTGCAGTCGCACAGAATGGTTGGTCTCTGGTCTTCTCATGTCTTGACCAAAGAGACCGGAATGTGGAAACCAAGGAGATCTATGACTGATTGACTGTTCCTCTATGACCTCATTTCCTCCCTCATAATGCAAACATCGTCTACAAAAAGCACGACCAACCATCATTTCAATATGTTTAACATGTGTGAATTTGGAATGCACTATGCGGATCTTTCCCGTAAGTCGGGGAAGGACAATAGCATGAAGGTAAAACATCATTCATCAAGGTCTTTGGGCTGTCTTTGGGTCGGTCCTCTATTGCCGAGCACTGTTCCCTGCCTTTTCCTTGTGGACCTTGATGCAAACTCCCCTGCATGCGTTGGATCTTGAGGCATTGAGACTTAGTCGGTGTCTGACTTGCCATCATCCAGGCCCAACACTTGGATGTATCCCAACACTTTCCCAAAATAGTGACAACTTTTTACCGACTGTTCCAAGTATATAATGGGAAACATGCGATCGATCTATCTATCTGTATATATATATGTATATACATACCCCCTCATACCTAGCATTTTGGAGATGAGGTACTTTGCACAACTACCAGCGGTTAGGTACCACAGATTCAACACTAAATCAATAGTGGCCTCACATTTGACGTTTGGAAAACCGTGTGCTAAACCAAAGGCAAACAAAGAATTCAGGCTTCTCAAGACAAATAAACATAAACTATGATCCAGTCTCTAGCCCAAACAAAGTCTCGGTTGGTTTTTCTATTTTTGAGTTTGTTCACTGCCATCTGCAAATACTGTGATCCAGTATAACCAAGACAAAGTTTCGACTTGGTTGCTTTTCTGATTGTGTTGGTTTTGTTCACTGCCAGTTGCTCACAATTCAAAAGCAACCAACTACCCCACTACCCCGCACCTGCTTTATTCAATTTTGGGTTATATGTTGGTGCAGGTGTCTTTGCTGAAGGCATTCTATTTAACACTGCGAAACTCCGCCTCCCAGCGACCGTCGGTCTGCCTACAACCGGTGAGTTCCGGCCCGATGATCTCGCCCATTTCACCAGGGCCTCGAGGCAAAGCACTGGAGCGAGAGAAGTTGACTCTCACTCTGCCTTTAATGTGCAGTAGGATCTGGATGAACGTCTTCGTTGGCTCTCGTCTCATGCAGGCAGGCTCCGAGAGCCCCCTGTTGAACACATTAAAATTGCAGAACTCTAGGAACGAAGGACAGACCTAGAAAGAGAAGAAACACATTTCCAGAAAAACATCCGCTCTCACTTGACTGGAAACATCTGGTTAATCTCGAGTACCTGTTTGAAAAGCCTCCCTAATTTAAAAAACCCCACGTAGTACCCCACGTCTGAAGCCCTAAATTTGGTTTATATGTGTTTTTAAACTACCGCCCTTTCAAGCCACTACTAAACTACCAACATGGTCGATTTTGGGGGTAGTTTTTTAAAGTTAGGTTCCAAAAGCAACCGTAACTGCCCACCTCTGTCCGCCCTGTGTATCCGTATCCACCATGACACGCCACGTTTACACCAGCAGGTTTTCTTTCCCCCCAAGGCACGCACTCACGCAAACGCACTTGCCACCGAGGTCGCGCAAAGGGCCGCGACTTAATTTTGGATTTTTTTGTTTCTTTTTTGGATTTTTTTTGTTTTTCGTTTTTCGTGGCAGGTGCAGGACTTTGTGGGCCTTGGAGTGCAGAGTTTGTGGCAGGCGCAGGACTTTTTGTGGGCCTTGAAGTGCAGATTTCGTGGCAGGTGTAGTGCTTTGTGGCCCTTGGAGTGCAGATTTTGTGGCAGGCGCAGGACTTTGTGGACCTTGAAGTGCAGATTTCGTGGCAGATGCAGGACTTTGTGGGTGTGGAAGTGTCGAGTTGGTGGCAGGTGCAGGACTTTGTGGGCCTTGGAGTGCAGATTTCGTGGCAGGCGCAAGACTTTGTGAACCTTGAAGTGCAGATTTCGTGGCAGGTGCAGTACTTTGTGGATGTTGAACTGCAGAAAGATAGAAAGATAAATGGATAGATAGATAGATTAGATTAGGTTAGATTAGATTAAATAAGACAAGATAAGATAGATAGATAGAGGAGGCATATTTGCTTGGTTAGAAAGTTTTGCGCTGGGGAGTTCACCTTAAAAAATTGATTTCGTGGCAGGCGCGGGTGTCGGGGATGAAGTGCAGATTTCGTGGCGCGGGGGGGGGTCGCAGCGCCCCCCCAGCAGCACACCAGATCCAAAGGTGAGCAGCTCGTGCTTGCTTGCTTGCTTGCTTGCTTGCTTGCTTCCTTGTTTGGTTTCGTCTCTGCAACGAAAACAACAGGAAAAGCAAATACAAAAAGAGAAAGGAGAACAGCTGCCAAACAGAAAGAAAGAAAGAAAGATAGATAAATAGATAGGTATAGACAAAAAGATGGATAGGCCAAAAAGCCAAAAGCCACAAAAGCCAAAAGCCACAGAAGCCACAGAAGCCACGAAAGCCAAAAGCCACAAAAGCCAGAAGCCACAGAAGCCAAAAGCCACAAAAGCCAGAAGCCACAGAAGCCAGAAGCCAGAAGCCACGAAAAACAACAAAAATCCAAAAAAGGAAACAAAAACATCCAAAATTAAATGGCCCTCCTCGCGCAACACCGCATGGCACAGCGACATCACGTTTCGAAAGCACTGGTTGTTAGTCTAATGAAGAATAGGTATTCTAATAGAGGTTTTTGTAGGGGAAAAGGAAGACCCTTCGATCTGGAGGCTTTTTGAATTTTTGATACGAGTTTAATAAAAGTCTTCTATAAACAAGTTTCATTGATATTTTTTGGGTTTTGAAGCTCTTCCCAGGTGACCCTACTTTGGAACCCCCCGATTTCAAGGACCCCTTCTTTAAAAAATGGAGCTGAGTTTCTCTAAATGGGGGGGACGTGTTTTTTAATCGGTGGATAGGATTATACACACCTAAAGAGCGTCTAGAGGAGAGTCAGAGACAGACCTAGAAAGAGAAACAAAAGGCAGGAGAGAAGACACCGAAAACTGAGGGGAATGGGGGGTTGGGGTGTGGGGCGCGTGTATGTGAAAGACACTTGGTCCGAAAGCCGAATCCGGCGCACTCTTGACTGAAAAAGCCTCAGCTACACCTAAAAGCCTCTAGGCCTAAAAGGGAACCGATGCATGAATGACTCAGAAGCGTGCATCAAGTACTCAGTGAAGGAAGGATTCCGTATGAAATCGGCTCACATCACAAGTCCGCAGAATCAGCAAAAAGCGTCTTTTCCAAAAAGGAGTGACGTCAGCGCCGCGAAGGGATCACACGGCACACCACGGTGGGACGATGCCGCTGGACACACCTAGATGGAGAGCTCACCGGGGTGAGCATAAGTTCAGTTACTGAATCACGGGTGCACTGGCCCTTGACCTTACAGGAGTTAGACCTTGACTTGCAAAACGGAATGGCGGCAGCCAGAGAAACCAAATGTTTCAACAGAATGCTGAACGGTGCAAAGGCCGACAGCATTGTTCTAGCTAGAAAAACAGGGACCAACAGCGTAAGACCCACCAGTGTACACAAGCACTGCGTGAGCGTCTTCGTTGGCTCTTGTCTCATGCAGGCTCCGAGCGCTGTGCTGAACACATTAAAACTGCAGAAGTAAAGCCCTTGGAGACAGCGTGTGACACACACACACACTTTTTGGGGGGTTCAGGATCGAAAGGATGTCCACGAGGAAGGTATACGGGTCTGGTGGTCCCCAAATCGACTTGTTCAATAGACGGTAGATGTCCGGGTTGGCCGTCCCCAAAGGCCACAGTATCCTAACAGCGATGGCCTCCAACCCAATAGCTTCTTTTTCCTAGTAGTAATGGCCTCCAACCTACTAGCTATGGCCTCCTAGGTGAAAACGGGTGGCTGAAATTGGCTCAAAGTAATTCACTTTTTTTGCATCTCAGATGTCTTGTTTGTTGCTTTTGGATTCCACTCGAGGCCAGCGCAAATGCTTGGTATCGGAGTGTTGTTGCAGATTGCATCCAACAAAGCCTGGTCGCGGCGTCAACACCACATCATCCGCTTGCGATCACATCCCAATACTCAATGCGGCTGTGCTTTCTGAACAGCAGAAGCAGCCTCTACGTGTTGGAAGGCAAGGGCACGAACCTGGCAGCGTGAAATGCAATGAAGAGTCTGGTATGCAGCCGTTGATAAGAGGCCGATGACTCTACTGGGTTAGAAGCAGGATAGATTCCTCCCCTTCAGCCGAGTTTTCTGCTGGCCTGCATGAAGGGTGTGGTACCTTCGGAAACAACATTGTGCCTCAGAATGTCTCTCAAACTGCTTGTAGACAGCAAGCTCACTGGCTGAGGCAGAAACTCCTTGTCTAAAACGATGAAGCCTTGACACCCTAGCTGTCCATACCTGCGCGCGTGCAAGAGAGACAGAGACAAACACAGAGAGATAGAGAGAGAGAGACTGGGGACATTCTTTAATGTTTCACAAGTTCCTTCACGATCACAGTTTAGCCTAATATTGCAGGGTTGGACCCTGCTGTACTACTTGGCGCACGTTGGCATGTCACTCGGTGATGCCACAAAGCCATTGACCTGTTTACAGTAACTCACACAAAGCTGCTCGGCGCGATGTTCGGCGCAATGGGACGCTGTGATCCCTGAGGGTCTGGCGCAGTGTGTCAACTTCATCTGGGTACTCATCTCCTCAAAATCGCATGACGAGAGCCCCTGGATCTCAAACGAGTTGCAAGTCACCGCCACCAACTTACTTCAATGAATTGACATGTTTGCCATTTTACACTTGCATGAAGCATTCTCCACAAGTGCTGTACATGGACCGTGTTGGACATCCAGTGGATCAAGAGATCAAGGTCTCCAAAGGAATGTTCGGTCAAGTGACCCGTCCAAATAACATCAAAAAATGATACTGAATAGTTATGTATGTATGAATATGTAGTGGACCTCGATCAAATACCATCAAATAAGAATACGAACCAACATGGATAGTTGTCGGATGTTGTCGGATGTTTCCAGTTTCCCACCTTGCAAAGTCCATAGGCACTGCGATCGCCTAGGACCTCGGAGGAAAACGGACTGGTCCTGCGGTCCGGTCCGTTGTGTCTCGCTTCCCAAAGCACCAGGCACAGATGCACAAAAAGTTGCAGTCATAGGTGGCCCCAGCCTAAGTGCAACCCAGTCCATATGAGTCCCAGTCCGAGTCCCAAGCGGATGGGTGTTGGGACATCTGATGATTCTTAAGGAATGAGGAAATTGGCTGGGTATGGCTGGGTGCAGCAAAAAAGGTTTTGGTGTCTGTGAACTAGTGAGCAAGTCCTGCGCATCCTCGTGAATTTCAACCGGCATTGTGCGGTGTTTTCATGTGCTTTGAGTTCTCTGTCAATTTGAAGCTTGCGGCAGCCCACGAGTTCATCTGCTGCGCACAGGGCCAACATCCGCCTGACACAGTGACTCCTCCTCATGTGTACGTGGCCCAGTGGTTCGCATCTAACATGGCACTTTTCAGGCTGAGCTCACCCCGTTCTTGTTGACTTTCTAAAGAAGGACTGTGATGGGTCCTGACTTGGCCCCCATCATGACAGATTGATCTGTACTGTGGTATCTCGTTTCATTATGTTTCTTTGTATATTTTGCATTTTGCCGTGTTTCTTGCATTACTCTCAAACCGCTTCGGTATGTGCAAGGTGTGTACAAACACAACATGCATCTCTGCCTCACGAGTGAATCAAGGGGGCCCTGCTTCCAGCCTCAGGAGGTGTAGAAATGGATCACCGTGGGCTTACCTTTGTATGCTGACCTCAGCTCAGTTTGCTCAAGTCGCTCAAGTCCAACAGCTAACAAAACGTTGTCAATAGCGGTTGAACACCTCTGAGGAAGCTGCAGTGACACCTTCTTTTGCAAAGGCTTTGCCTCCACCACGACATACAGTGGCGGTTGGCTCAATCTCTTCCGTAAACAATGACTCTAGTATCCAAAGTTCGTGCACAAAGCTATGCATAGCTATGCAATGTCAATGCACACTTGCCTAGTACCATACTACATTCGTGCTGATCCCAGACCATCCTGTGATATGCCAAACTGCATCGCTTCATACCCAAAAACACTGCCCTACCCTGGCGCCTCAGGATAGGCCGACACCAACTCGAAGGAGACCTCCGGTGGGCCCATGACTCTGTCCAGCTCTCTGGGACGATTGGCCTCATCGAACACGGCAAGATGCTTCGGATGCTCGCCCAAAATCAATCACATTTGTCAAACCACATTCGAAACCGATCAAAACAGGATATATTATGTATATATATAAATATCTGTGAATACTTGTGAGTACTTGTCCCTGTTCTCGACTTTCAACTACAAGATCTAGAAGTAGGAAATAAACATGGATAATCAATCATCAACTGCATTCTCAAAAGGTAGGGACTGACAATGCACTCACCAGTGAATCCATGGGTTTCCTACTGGAACACATCCAACTGAGGTCAAAAGAGGTCAAAGTCATACCATCCCACATTAAACATGCACCAGTGCCTTTTTCATCTCTTTTCTCCCAATATCCTTCGCTAGCGGCCCTGGTCACAGATAGCGAGAAAATCCGAAGTCTCCCAAGATCGAAATAAGCCTCGTACCATACAAATTCATGTATCCCAAGTGTGTGGACCATATATCCCAAGTCTTCATACCGAGTCTTCATGTCCAAACGATGTGTGGACTCTTCAGGCATCCACGAACCCAACAACGCACGGCCTCCACAGGCCGTCGGCGAGAACACAGCGCTGTGAAACTCGCCCCCATGCGAAGATGCGAATTCTTGAGCCAAAGTGCATCGGGTTGGAAGGGAAGTCCTCAATGGTTGGTCGAACTTCTCAAATCACTCGAAGGGCGCCTGCCTTGGAAGACCCTAAAACATGTTTCTTAGAAGATGTTGAAACACCCGGGTATGAGACGAACATGGTCATGTTCCACAAACTCAGCGTCCTCACCATCCTCGCAGAGTCCGGATTGAGATTCTCGGACGAACAAAACAAATGCAAAGCTGTCATCACCTTTCTGTCCGGAGACCGGGAGTTATTGACTCTCTCTCTAACCCTGCAGGTTGAAGCAGGTTGATCAAGCAAAACCTGAAACCAACCAGTCTTCCCACCGCCCCCGGAAAAAACACTGGGCAGCCCAGAGTGCCCAGAGTCCTTGTGGTGCTGTGCTTCTGTGAGCAAAAGCTCCTTGACCTGACCGGATACAAAAGGCACGAAACATGAGGTCAATTTGAAACCATCGGGCATAGTAGGAACTATGAAGCCTGAACATGGCACAGTGGGAAGACCTAACTGGAAACTGGAAGCTTGATTCGCTCGATTTGAGGCCTCTTCAACATGATTCCCAGTGTCGGCTTCATCAGGCTTCGGCCTGCAACTGTGCTGTCAAGCAGTGCAAGGTTTCAGGACCCAAGTTAAGTTTCCCTCAAAGTCTAGGAACAAAATCAATAGTGCGAGCGCTTCTTCAAGGAAGCTCCCCCTTGCCGCCTAGCCTGCGTCCTAGCTAGGAGCGACCTTCTCCTAGTAGCTTACTTTTCAATTAATTAAGTAGGCGCTACTTAATTCAGTAAGGGCAGGCACAACAAAATATAACAAGAAATATATATATATATACAATAGTTATATATGCAGATATAGCCAGTTGACCGTTGAAGTCCACCCCTGAAGACTTCCTGCAAGTTGCGGGCTCTGAATTGGACAACACTGACATCCCTGAGATACTCTCCGCGACATGACACACGACTCGAAATAGCCAGTATAGAGCTTTCCGGGATCAATCTTGCACTTCCATATGAATGTCTGAGCAGGGCATCTGTTTCGATAGGGTCTTCACATTGCCATCTGCGCTGCTCACAAGAAGAGGTGCCTCTCAACCACCGGCACTGAAGTGCTGCTCCAAGACCGCAGGCGAGGTGCCAGTAGTTCCATCAACTCTGACCTTAAGTATTGACATTGTTCAACAACCGTATTCATCCAAAAACAGCATGCCTGCGGGCATCATCGACTGGTATGAAATCGCGGGCAAGCTTTCCTGCTGCACTCAACCTGACACCGTTGGCGTGGGTGCGAAAGGAGACTGGACTCCTATGCCCTATGATGCCCTAATTATGCTTCTTCTATAAACATCGCATGTTTGGCGGGCTACTCTATCCATGTTTTAAGAACAAACAAGTGCTTCAAGCATCTTCTTAAATAAAAGGTGAACATATCTCCGAAGCACACCTGATTGCCTAGTAAGTAGCTCGCCATCATGAGATCATATATATATATATAGTAACACACATATAGTAGGTCTCAACATGATCGGAAGTGTCCACACACTCAGCTGTCATGTGGACCTCCCTATAGCTTCCTAGGTCCTTTTTCATAGAGTAAAGGAAAAGGGCAAGCTGCTTCCTCCGAACTTGCCAAGAGCATTGTGGATCGAGTTCCCTAGGCTATCAGTGGCAACCAGTACTCATAAAAACAAAGTAGAACCCTAACACTGGACAGCCGGGATCTCGACTAATTTCATACGAGGACTTCCACAGAGAAAATCTCATGATTTTGTTTTTTAAATACGATTTCTTGTTACTAATGTTACTAGTAATGCCACGAGCTACTAGTAGCTTCTTGTTACTAGTAGCTTCTAGCCGTTGTTTTTCGTTTCTGTTCGGAACAGGTTTGCGGAGTCCGTGCTTCCACGGCGCCTCGTGGGATCCGCTTTGGACTCCAGCAACAATGTGCACAGTGCAGGATCACCACCACAGGCCGCCTGGGAGGATCGTTCCCACTGAAGCCTCACACACCTGCACTGGACCCGGGAACTTGGAGAGCATCGAGTTCCGAAGCCACAAAATGAACAATCAAAACATGATAATACAACGTTTTGTATGGCAGACCAGAAATCTGTGGCCTCCCAAACCACAATGTTAAAGGAAAGCATGACCTTAAGCAGGGGAACCCTGGGCCCTGAGCCTTATGTTTGAACGCATACCTGTATTATGTATATACAGTACACATATAATAGAAGGTCAGGACCTGCCACGCGTGAAGATCATCGCGAGGCTGTGCTTCTCACTGATCTTCATTAAACTGTATGCGCATGTCATGCATGCTTGTCAATTGCCAGTTTGTATGGCAGGAATATATAGCTTATTGATCTTATTGTTTCCGCACCTACACAAAAGGAACGCGCACGCATCTATCTTGTATCATCTGACAAGACATAGTCGCTTGTCCTCTTAATTAATGTGTGCATAAAACAACTGGCTCAACGTGCTCAAATGTTGCCAAAAGCGAGCACATGGATGAAGGTCGCTCGTTGATATTAATCACATGCATTTGTCGCCTTCCAGCAACCCTCCACACAGACTTGGATGGATGACAACCAATCGGACGGCGATATGTGGAGCTGCGAGATGTCCATCAACATGAAAAGAACAACTATATACAACTATATAGTCTTGACCGAAAGGTGAGATGATATGGTCGCGGGCCAAATCTCCTCAAATTAATTACTAATTACCCCAGTTGAACTGAAATGACAGAGTCATCTTGATATCTTGCAAAGGTGTGTCTGAGGAACAAGAAGCTACTAGGGGCTCCTGGCATCGTACTAGGAACAAGGAAGCTACTAGGGGCTCCTGGCCTTACTACTAGGAGCACGGACGCTACTAGGAGCTTTCTATATTTCGTAACGTTCAATTTCCCGCACTTCACGCCTCCATCAAAGGTGTTTCACCAGTGAGATCATCTGCAGCATCAGGGTTGGCTTTGGCCTCCCCACTGCGGAGCCGAGCAGGCGGAGCCGGTGCACAAACACTTGAATCAGTGACAAAAAGTCTTATGGCAGGGACACATTGGGAGGAAACATGCCGTGGTTGGAAGGAAAAATATAATCTATCAAAGCAATGGATATCAATGAATCATAGAATCGTGAACAAACATTGCTTTGGGGGCGTCTCTTTGCAACGGGCCTAGATCTTGAAGCACTTCGTCAAAAAAGAAACACCGCAGGTGGCCCGGTTCAGGGCGATTTTCTCCATCTGCCATGAATCTGTGGCTCCATCACTTTGGAGTGAGCAACACCCTGCACTACCTGAGTTCGCACGCATCTTCAGTTTTTTCCATCATCCAAGCAACTAAGCTTCAGATAGGACAGGGCAAGCTGCTCATCATTGGCGGCAATTGAAGAAGCCATCACATGGAGCGATGGCTTCGTGTGCAACACCTGCTGCAAACATGGTTCCTATCAAGCGCGCTTTGGTGCAGAAATGACCCCCAATTGGCCAAACATCCACCTGTTGGGTATCCCGTTCAAGGATTGATGTTCACCTGTGCATATGATCGAGGCTCAAAGTCTTATTCTCTTTTGCTTGCACATTGTGGAATGCATGTTGTTCTGAGTGAAGCTCTATGCCAACCATTGACAAAGCCGGAAGAAACTCAAGCTCTTTTGAGGCAGAATGCTTAGAAAGGGAAAACTGCACCAATTGAGCTACTCTGACTTTACCAAATGGGGATGGGCGGAACGTGGGAAAACTATGGCAAATGATGACCGTTCTGCAGCAGGAGTGTTCAGTTCACCCCATTCGAATCACCGAAGGAGTGAACAAAACTCGCGGCTGGACACAGCATTCATGAAATCGAAGTGAGACGCCGCTACGAGCAACAAAAAAGTACAGCTTGAACGGTATGTTATGGTATGTTGCTGTTTGGCTTCTACTCTACTGTCAAGCTCGTTATCAAGAAAGACCAACAAAAGTTCTCCCATTCACTTGGCTTTTTGCAATGCAAAACAAATATGACAAATCAGTGTCTATGCCTTTGGTCTTGGATACCTCAGCATCTCAAGCTTCTTTCAACATCTACACATTCCGCGCTTGAGCTGGTGACTCACCGGTGGACGCAGGTCATCCTGGCGGCGAAGAGAGCCTTATGTGTGTCGTGTCTGCGTGTATGTGCGGCTGTATGTGTTGTCTTGCCCTCATTTGCCCTTCCCAAATTGCAGTTGTGAAGAAAACAGCAAGGAAGACCATGCCATGGATGAACTGTAATTACATGCATAAGGGACAAAGATTCCGTGCTGCTGCTCAAAAAGGAACATACTAGCCTGCTTGAGCCTGTTGGTCTTTGTATGCTGGCTATGATCATTCGTGGTTCAGTTGATACTGCTGGAAACTGCCAGCACACCAGCCTGCAGCTGGCTTGGGCCGTGTCTGGCGGAATGCGGAATGTGAGGCTAGACTGCTAATTATATATCGTTTCTAATAGCTTCTTGTTTCTACTAGTAAGGCACTTGTTACTAGTAGCTATGCCCTTGTTACTGAAAAGGCCGTGGGACTGGGCAAATGAACGAAAGTGCAACCTCACACGAAGCCTCCACACCCTCACTATGCCTCGTGTCAGGTGACCCTAAGACTGTGGAAGTGATCATACCGCTTGATGCGCGATGCGGTGGACCTGGCATCCTTGGACTCGCCTTCTCTCGGCGGCTCAAGGCTTCCACCAGCTTGGACACGCCCGGAGCTTGGCTTGGCCTCCACACAGGTGGCAAAACACACATTGACAGGCCTCAGAAACATCTAGTTACGGACCAGTCCATGCAGGACACTGTGAGAGGTTTCCAGTTTGAGTTTGATCCCTGGGTGAGCATGTTAATGTTCAGTTCCTGGAAATTGACAAATTCCAAACAAATCCTCCAACAAGTCCTTCATCATAGATGCATGCCGATTTGGTTGCTAGGAGTTGTGATCCAATGACGATAAAACTGGGTCGAGCGACACAAGGCCAACCAATGTCACCTCAAAACATGTTTCTCACCTGCCAAACTGACTACAGATGAAGCACGCACCACATGAACACACAAACTTGTAAGTGGTGTTTTTTGCTAAAACATGTCTCTCATTGTCAAAAATATCCGACATCCTACCAAGTCAGACCAACCGTTTGGGTCATCATCAAACCTACCAAAAATTGAAGTTGACAAACACTTCAATAAACCTTGATGGGTTGCCCCACCGGCAATTTTGTTCCTCGGGGCGCCAGGATCTGGTGGACCAATGTTGATCGCAATGCCGTCTAGTATTTTGGGGCTGTGCCATCTTCATTTGCCACACTCATAAACCCCAAAGGCTGCGCTTCGGCGGGCCTGTCCACCCTGTCCTTTGGTGTATCTGTGCGCAGCTCAGCTTCGCCTCGTCCGAAACTGTCTCCATTGGATTCGGGCCAATGCTTTTATCTCTCAGATCTACTGCGTGGACACGCCCACACTACCCTGCCTCCGTAGCTTTCAAATCTAACTATTCACTCGGTAGCGTCTCTTTGGGAACCATTTAGGAGCAAAAAGTCACGTACGAAGTCGTTTTCCCGCGGTTGGCTCGCAAAGGTGTGCTACGCCGGAATGGCACCTGCCTCCTCTAAATTAAACCTCGGCTGGCTCACCAAAGGTTTGCTACCTTGACTCCTTTCTCCTCTTGGTCTGCAACGTTGGACTTGCACCTTCCTCCTCTAAATTCTGCCCTCAGCTACCTTGGAATGGCACCTTTCTCCTCTAAATTTTACCCTTGGGTGGCTCACAAAAGGATTGTTTCCTTGCAATGACTCCTTCCTCTAAATATTGCCCTCGGGTGAAGCACAAAAGGTGAGCTATAAATTTATCCTAGGATGGCTGACAAAAGGTCTTGGAATGGCTCCTTCCTCCTCTAAATTGTACCCTCGGGTGGTTCACAAAAGGACTGCTACGTTGGATTGGCTCCTTTCTCCTCGCACTCACAAAAAAAGTCCGGAAGCCTAAGGCCAACAAAACCAGAGAAACCAAGAAGCCAAGCAAACCGAGAAGCCCGGAAACCAGAAAATACCAGAAACCCAAGAAACCCAGAAACCAGGAAGCATAGAAACCAAGAACCCAGAAACCAGGAAATCTAGGGCGCACCCTGCCATACTATTCTCCTGCGCGGGTGCATAAACGATAGACTGCACGCGTTCACGGACAATATCCCTCCCTGCTCAATAGTGCAATCGCTGTTCTTTGACCTGCCCGAAGCCTTAGGAAAGGCTTCAATAAGGCCTCACTAATGGACCAGCAAAGCCCTTGCAAATTACAATCCTACTTGCCACACACTCACTGTTCTGAGAAGGGGGCAGTCCGGGGGGTCCCCATATTGCCATATCATATCCCATGTCGATAATACATCTTGGAGACTGAATATGGGACCCAAATTCCCAAGGGAAAAGGGACGGAACAAGAAAGACCATATCATTTTTCTGACTTGGATGCTACAATTCTGAAGGTGCTTAGATGTGCATGTTGTGTGTCCTTGTTCAAGGCAGTACAATGTCGTTTGGCAAAGCGTTGATTCTGGACTTGTTATGACACCTGCATTTACAATACACCATCTTGGGAATTAGATAGATGTGGAACAAAACAGGTTGTCCAGGACACCAAAATTCATTGTTTGTAAGTTTGGGTCCATAGGCAAGTAGGAAGATGGATGGATTGGATGAGATACTTGAAAATCCGCTGATGAAGGAAGGCGCTGGTCTTCGTTGGTATAGTATATCGCTCTGTAAATCCAGAACATGTATTATACATATATATATTATATATATATATATCATATTATCGTAAACAATATCCATGGACCTCATCTGAACATTCTCTACCCAGCACGGGAATTGCGACAAGGAGCGTTTTTGGGCGTTGACCTCCTGCGCCAACAACTGTGAGATCCTGGAGCTACCGGACACTGACGGGTTCCTAGAGAGAAGGCCTGGATGATTTTGTTTGCCGGTATCTTCTTGGCACCAAATGCCTGATATATAACTGGTTGTTCAGGCCAGCGGATAATGACCATTTGTTGGCAAATGATGGATAAGCTGCTCAAATCGATAATGATCCATCAAGGACCAGGCCTCACAAACATCCCAACTAGTCACAGCGTCGCAGGAAATATGTTTGCTAAGCCTAGGTAATTTTTGTTAGATTCACAAGTTGCGAAGGAGTGGTAACTTTGGACTCACTGTCATGGGTTGGACAAGAACCAGGAATTCTATCCTTCTGGGCTACTACAGTGCGGCCTTATGCATAATTGGAAACTTGGTTCTGACAAGTGTTCTGATGAACAAGTTTGAGTGTCTCGAGAGTGTACCAAACCAATGCTTCTGTTAAGTGCCTGGCAACCAGAACGCCTGCAGCCTTTGCTGTCTCCATACTTCAACCCTGAACCCAAACAGTGGCCTTACCAAGTATTCTTGAAATATGTTCAAGTACAATTTTCCCCACAAACCAGCACATCGACCACAATGAGGCAGGATCTTCCGCACCTCTTCTTCAGGGCCCGGGTCTTTTTCGGCTCAGGCTCCGCCTCAGCCCACAGCACCCGGTGGACCCATCCAGGATGGGCCCATGGATTGTCGTTGATGACTCTAAGATTCAAAATACAATGAGATCATGTTTGTTGTTTTCCTTGCAAATTGCTTGCAAACACATGGTTATGAATTAACGATACGGGTAGTACATACATATTGTAGTATCATACCCTTGAAACCCAGCCGGTGGAACGTCAAAATGACTTGTTATCCAGTTTAGACTCCACAAACGGTACCCCAGAAATAAACAATGTGCCAAAACCAACCATCCACGAACCCCTCAGTGAAGGAGTGATCCCGCCCAAAACCACGGACACCACCCTTGGTCGCTTCTCGGTGCAAACGCTCGGAGACATCACCATCACCTTGGGAAAAAGAATTGCGTGGGAACGACGAGTCGGGTGTGGAACCAACCGGGGTCAACTGAGTGTGTGTCTGAATCCCTTCCAAATGAAGACCTACAGGACCTACAGCCGACAGCACAGAACACGTAATGGTTTTGTACAGAAAAAGGCACTACTGATTGCACGAAAAACAGCTTACGATCTTGAAGAGTGGAGTTCAAGGACGGGTTGCCTTGATAAAGATCAAGCTTGCCGGCTGATCAGTCTAGATTTGCAGAAAGGATCAACTTAACCAGCTTCGGTACTAGCTTCGGTGGACTTCAAGGACAAAGGGTTGACAACACAAGGGCTACATAACGCTTGGCCATTTTTCTGCCGAACCCGCAATGCCGCAAGGTCCACAAATACTCTGTCTGGCGTGCATGGTGCCGAAGAATTTCCACACCAGTTGCAATCGACACTGCTCCAAACCAATCCAAGTTAATTTGTGTATATATATATAATATATAATATATATATATATATATGAGGTCTTGTCAACACGTTAAACCTTGTGCCATGGGAAACGTGACTCAAGTCACACGAGCTTTCCACATACAAGATTTACACGTTCGCAAAAAGGGTTTCAACCAGCGCGGCGGCCCATCGCTGCCCTCGCGACTGCTGCTGCTGCTGCTGCTGCTGGTAGACTCTTGTCCTGTCCCGTCCAAAAATTGGAGTTGCCGCTTTCTCTTGGCTGCAGAGCGTTTCCTCTTTGCAGCTAGATGACGTTCACAACCTGCAGGTTTCATCTGTTTCAATTCACCTTTCGTCACGCATGCCCAACTCTTCGCGGCGATTGATCAAAGCACTGGTTTTTGTGGGAAACTCTGCTACCAAGTTCTTCTGAGTGTAGTGCCCTCTTCGTTGACTCTCAGGCGTAGGATTCATCGTCATCGTGGTGCTCAAGGTGACAAACGAACTTGTGGTCAGGGAATGATAGAAAGTCATAGAAACATTGTTCTTCCACTGAACGCATGCGGCCTTGCCTCCAATGTTCTTCGCTGATTTCAGTACGTCTTTCGGATTTGGCGGTTGTCTGAGTTTCCTCGCCAAAGTTTGTCTGGCCTTATTGACCTCCTACTCTGAAAGCTGCTCGAACATCGTCAAGGGTGGACGGGCAAGCACCTGGCACTGAAGTTTTGGCCTTAAGGCATCGAGAACATGAAGACGCCTTTCCCGTGTTTCTCTCCAAAAAGGTTCAATGTCACAGGGGTACCAGCTGCACTCTTGCTGGCCCACTGGGCACCCCTTCTGATTGGCCAGCATGGACAACTAAGTTCCATCCGGGCCTGTGCCCAAAACGTGTTCGAGATCTGTCGGTGGGCTACTGGCACCGTCACGTTTTGCTAGTCGTTTTGCTTCCAGTCTATCCAAGTCGCGCCATGGTAATTCGGGAGACTTTAATGACTTGAGACACTGCCTCTGACCTCTCTTTGCCTCTCAGCAGTTCTCCTGTGAAAATGTAAGCGCTAACTACCTTCCTCATCCAAAGCAGCTCCCTTTCCAGCTCAGCCTCGTGCTCATGCAAGCGAAGAACTATATATCTCGTCTGATTCATCTCTTTTCTGTATGTGGCAGTGCGCAACATCACATCAGTGAAATATGCATGGCACTCTTCAGCAGCATCCAAGCCATCCACAAATGGCAAAAGAATTTGGATGATGTTTGCGCAAACTCTTCCACAACTTTTGCGCGCAAGGGTGGCATACGCCGTGGCAGTCCATCTGGCATGGTGCAGAAAACAAAAACGTGAAGAACTTTAAACGTGAACGGTCTTACAGTCTTACATATATGTTCAGGACAAGCTACGGTTTCACCACAGTATCGTAGCTGTGGCAATGATCGTAGTCTGTGATCCCACTCCCCGCCTTATCCAAGTTAGCTGTTCCTGCAAGATTCTCACCCAAATTTGGTCTCTTCGGAGGTTGGGAGTGAATTCTGCATCTGTTGGTGGACATGCCTTCTCGGGAGTGGTCTCCTGATCACTCTGGTCACTCGCCACTAGCCCCTTTACCACCGATTCCTTTGAGTCCAGTGGCCTTCCGAAGGACGGTTTCATTTCGGATTAACTAATTGAAATTCGACCTTGCCATCTTTCAACACTGCATAATGTGATATGATACGTTTTTCGTATCAAAACGGAGAACGTGAGAGCCCTGCACACATGCAACTCTTTGGAACATTCATTGTGGCAAAGCTTGAGTAAACAAAGAAGCACAGAAGTGGCTGCGAAGTTGCTGCATTAATATTCATCTGTTCATGATTCCACATGATAGTGATATTAGATTTTGCAGTATCTCAGTATCTCTAGGTAGCGCGCAGCTAGCGGTAATTCTGGTGCCACCTTGTGGGAAAGGAAAGACACTGATATGTGCAGGACTCCGCTTCACAGCGAAGACTTAACTGGAAAGATTGCAGTTGAGAAGTGACCATGTTTTATGTGAACGGCTAATATGTCCTTTTGAACGGATCTCATATAATATATAGACATGTTTTACAATGGCAACAGTAGAATCATCCGTTTCACACTCCAACCGGAGATGAGTCAATTGCGTGCATGTTGTTGATTGCTGGATGGTGCGGGTCTTTACACCACTTCTGTTCATCCCCTAAAATAAACATGAACAAAAATAGGAATCGTGGACCTTAAGAGACTGCTTGAGAGTTACTGTTTCAAAACCATACTCATTTGCTAACGGTACACCCGAAAATAGCTAGTTTCCCATCATCGACTGTAGGTCATATTCAATATATTTGGGCAACCCTTTTAAGTTTAAGTATTTTTGAACGCCGAAAGCGCTAGCCTAGGCACGTCGCAGCTGTTGAGCCTTCTTCGAGATCTGTGGTGAGAAGGGATGTTGCTCGCAGCGGGGGTCCTCAGGTGTCGACAGATCCGTTGGACAGTTGCGGAGGGTCCGGTGGACCATGAGGTGTCACAAAAGGGACACGGTTTTGCACCTTCACCTCAGGTAGGTCAGCTTCATCTAAAGTATATAAATGTAATCATTAGATATCATTAGATTGTTTTATTATGTTTGATCAGTTTGATCCGACAAAAGCTGCGATCAAACCAAATCCGCCCGCACCGAAGGTGCTCAGGGCGTGATCATCCGGATGGCATAAACAACTGTAAGGTACAGGTTTACCTGGGGGGGGGCTATTTTTTGGCAAAAACAATGGGTTTTTGATAGGTCGCGACGGCGGACTTCAAAAACTACTGTTTTTTACAGCACGGAATGGACTAGTTCGTGCATGCGCCCGCCCGGAACCGGCAAGAGAAAAGTGAAAAAAACACATGTGCTTTTTGATGTTTCTTGACTTTTGGTCTTCGATTTTCGGTTTTGAGACACGTATGTTTTCCATGTGTCTTGTCGGGAGGCCGGGCCAGATTTTGTGATTTCGGAGCTGTTCATGTGACGGCTTTCGCCGTTTTTGTTGGGCAGAAACATTGGTTTTTGCAGTGCTTTTGTACATTGCTGAGGCTTGAGTTCTTTGCGCGAAAATTTAAAACCTCGCAAATAGCAGTGTTTTTGGCGACCATGTTGTTGAAAACGTCGCAAGCTAAAAACATCGCTGTTTGCAGTGGTTTCTGTCTCACAGAGTATAAAGAACAATGAAAAATACGGTACGCAGTGGCGTTTTCGGTAACATCAACCTCAAAAGCCTTGCTATTCGTCGTTTTTGTTGGGCAAGTGTTTCATGGCGGTGCGGGCGGACCTTGCCACGGAGTTGCGTGAATACTTCACGCCCAAAAGCTTGGTTTCCTGGTGTTCGTTCCTGCATTACTTCACGTCTTGCCCAACATTAATAGCAGTATAGTAAAAATCTGTAAAACAAACCTGAAAGATGCTCGATTCATCTCGATGCTCTCAGAGCTCTCAAATATGTTCTACAGTCCATGTCATAATCAAATTTAAGGGCAGGACAACTCTTTGGGCCCACGGCACACCGATGGAGTTAAGACTGCAAGTATGAAAGACCAACTAAATCCAAATCCCACAGGACTGGCTGCAGGAACAGCAAAGGGACATATGCTATCTGCTATCTGCTGCCAATGCATATATACATATATATATATATATGTGTGTGTGTCCCATACGGGGTCTGCATCATTCTCCCTGCGTGCTCGCCTTTTTCAGGGATACCCCAAAACACCCTTCAAGATGTTTCAAGCTTCTTGGAGTTCGCATGGAGTGGGTGGATCCTAAGAACCACCCTCCCTACGTTGCCTACGCCATCCACAGGTCGTTTCGTTGGCTTCAACCGGCTTCGACCAGCTCTGAGGTGCCCCACAAGGCTTTGGTGCCCGGAGGCTTCCCAGGACGGTCGCCCGCGTGCACCCGATCGTGCCAGGGCTGCCCGGTGTTGATCATGTGCCTGGCGTTTGTGAGGCCGTGACGGCCATGTGCTACGGCTTGAAGCAAGTGGAGATGAAGATGATGAAGAGTTCTTCTGCAACAAGACAACAAGCTCCACAACTAGTTGAGAGAAACACACACATATGCAATGGCAGAGCAATGCAGCTCGTTGCAATTTTGTGGAATAATCAACAAACTTCTGCTTCTGGCATTGAAGACTGAGATCCTTTTGCTTCTAAAAATAACTTCCAAGCTTGAAATGTTTGCATTCCGCCAGACTGCTCACCTATCTCAATATATAATACATACTATAATACATGTATATATAAGGACTACATTGACTGTTGCGTATATTGAGACTCTATCGGACGACTTACCAGCCAACCACCAAGATGCCGTCACTTCGCCGCTTCGCCTGAAGATGGCCTTACTGCGTTCGTTGATGGACGGCTTGAAGGTGTGCTCTGCCTCCTCCTGTGCCTTTGACTCTGCGGCCGCCTTCATCACCTGAACGTGTTGCTTTCGACTCCCAAGCTCGGAGGAATAGAGTTGACACCTTGCTGGATGCAACAAGTTTGGGTGGTGGAATTGACCGGAAGGTCCACTGCGGAACTGGAGACAGCCCGGAAGGTCCACTTCAAACTTCGGGATTCGATTTGATCAGTGAAGTGAAGACGACATCGAAGCCCAAGTTTTGGTTTCAACGACATGCTCTGCGCACCTGACAAACAAAAGAGAGATCCAAAGAAAGGAACTGACAAACGAGTGTCTCGAAATAGGCTAAAATCTGGAGAATCCCCGCATGCATTGAGACACTTGATCTGTATGACTGGTGGGCCCATGACTCTCTCCAGCTCTCTGGGACGATTGGCCACACTCGCCAAGATGCGAGGATGCTGTCAAACCACATTCTCCGATCAAAACATTATATAATATGATATAAACTTATATAATGATGAATGATGTATGACAGAATTTGTTCCTGTTCCTTCCCGTGGCCCTAGCAAAACTGGCAAGTGAATGACACCAGAAATGATGAAATGTGATCCCCAAACAGATCAAACAGCAACAAAATAATCACAAATCCTCCCTGCTTTGGGCCCGCTGGATTTTGAGTTTTCACATGTTTTTCACCCGCCTGTGACCTGAACAGCCTGAACTGAACAGCCCGCTGTGCACCTTTTGGGATCGACAGGAGGCAGAGAAGCTCCTCTTTCCCTCCCATGGAGGAGAGTAGCCTTGGTCTACGCAGAAAGGACGCGTCCTTAGGTGGAGGCCACCGCTACTAGTAACAAGAAGCTACTGTATTACATGAAGTACTTATCGTATGACACGTGAGTGTGACGAGATTTTGATTCGTCATTGCACGTTTAAGTGCACAGCCCAAGTGTGGTCATGCAGTCGGTCACATGACATGCGCCACAGGATTCCAACTACATCCAAATAGTCTCATGCGCGATCTCTTTTATCAGTCAGGTGACCTGCAACCTCCTGATGTTCATCCTCACACACAAGTGGAAAACACATTTCGTAACTTTGGCCCTCTGACTGATAATCTCAGACTATAATTCCTCTTCAACCTGGCACCACAACATTCTGGGATGCAGAAAGGGGCCATATTGTTTTTTTTTTCCGAGCAACCGCTGGTGACCAGCTTCCGGGAGGTCTCGGTGAGGCTGGGAGCCGCCAACTGGCTGATCTCCTGGAGCTCCAAACGGCCCATGATGACGTTGAAAATAATTGGTCCATTGACTTCTGACCTCATAGCGATGGCCTCCAACCTAATCGGGATGGCCATGGCCTCCATTGAATCCTGACTAATATATACTATTACGATCTAATACACTTCTTGATCTGAGAAGTGAAGTGGATGTCAGGATGTGCTGGATAGTTTTGTTGGCAGTATGACATTCTATGACATCCTCATATACTTGTTACTTTTAAGTGTCACTGATTCCGGTCGCAATCCGTTGCTAGGCTGGCCTGATCAGCCCTTTCTTTGCGAGCACTCTCCAACCGCGCTTCCCGCTGCTTCACGAACTCCACATTCCCTGGGGTAATTTTCAGCCGGGCAAGGCTAGCTCGTTCTGTGTGAACATGTTGAAGCATTGCACAAAAGTAAGGTGCACACCGTCTCCAGGAGGTTTGTTGTTTTCCCAAAAAGCAGGGGGCCATCCCTCTCACCCTTGGTGGATGGCCAACGAAGAGGCCAATGGTGAGAGCTGTAAACGTACCTGCAGTTCTACACAGGGTAACAGAAGGAAATGGTACTCGGTGTCGGTGCCTTTCCTTCTGTTGTCCCTTTTCTATCCTTTTCTAATCTACTCTACCCGGGCGGTCTCGGCCGCTAACTGCTGCACGGCCGTAATTCAAGACCGCTAAGTATAGTAAAGGGCTAATGCGAAACAAGATGTTAAAACCTTTCTGTTTCGCTGCCTCCGCCACCTTTCCGTTCCTGTATTCATTTCCTCGTGGATTACCTCGCTGGATGAACCCTTGTCTAAGTGTGAATCGCTGTGTTTTCCCACCTGGGTGCACAGTGTGATCCCCTGCAAAGGGGCGCCGAGACCACGGGGATTTTGGTGTGACTTTCTCGTTCTGCAATTGTGGATTATGTTTTGTTGATTTGTTTCACCCATGAACCAACTGAGCCACAGGCCGCCGGGCACACGGATAGAAAGCCGCCGGCTCTACGGCGAATAGACCCCCACCCCCACCCCTTCCCCCCTTTCTTTCTTGCGGTTTCTTCGTTTGTTAGGTGTTTCTTCAGGCTTGTCAGGTTGTTCTTGAGGCTCGTTTCCCTGCCCTCGGTTTCGCTTTACTCGCAGCTCTACACAGGGTAGCAGAAGGAAATGGTACTCGACACACTGTGTGTGTCGGTGCCTTTCCTTCTGTTGCCCCTTTTCTAGTCTACTCTACCCGGGCAGTCCGGCCGTCATTCAAGACCACTAAGTAACTAGTTTAAACTTTTTTGCTACACCTTTCTCTCTTGCCCTCTTCGCTTTTATCTTTCTGTCTTGTTAGGTGCCTATTCAGGTTTCCGCCGGAGTGAGCGCCGCTCTGTGTGTGTGTGTGCCCCCTCCGTCTCCAGGAGGTTTGCTGTTTTCCCAAAAAGCAGGGGGCCATCCCTCTCACCATTGGTGGATGGCCAACGAAGAGGCCAATGGTGAGAGCTGTAAACGTACCTGCAGTTCTACACAGGGTAGCAGAAGGAAATGGTACTCGGTGTCGGTGCCTTTCCTTCTGTTGTCCCTTTTCTATCCTTTTCTAATCTACTCTACCCGGGCGGTCTCGGCCGCTAACTGCTGCACGGCCGTAATTCAAGACCGCTAAGTATAGTAAAGGGCTAATGCGAAACAAGATGTTAAAACCTTTCTGTTTCGCTGCCTCCGCCACCTTTCCGTTCCTGTATTCATTTCCTCGTGGATTACCTCGCTGGATGAACCCTTGTCTAAGTGTGTGGGACGCACGCCCACATTCCCAGCTGAAATGTGAAAACAGCAAGTAGACCACCTTGGAGGAAGCTGAGTGCGGAACGCTCATATGTGGCCAGCTTGGCTCCAGCTCCTGGAGGCGACCTGCGGACGGTCAAACCGTCTCTCCTCTCTCTTTTTTGCACCTACTCAATTGAGAAGAGACTCGGGAGAGACTTCTCCAAGGTCAAAGCGTAAATGGCGATTCTTGCATTCGGGGTCCTGACTCTGGAGTCAAGAGACAAGACTCTCAGCAATTTCAAACAGCTCTGCGGATGACTCCGCAGTGATGTGGCGTCGCATGTCTGCATGCAAAGTTCAAATCACTTTATCCAGCGGCTGTTTTCTTGAGCCTTAGTCTCCAAAATCATCGAAAGTGGTCCGTTGCCTCTCTCACCGCCTCTCTTCCCTCACGACGGGCTCGGAATCGGCCTCTTCTCCGTTCGTGGGGTTCTTGGAGGTGGGCCGAAGAGAGTAAAGGCTCCGCCCAGCTGGTGGGTGTCAGGCCTCGGTGCAGGCCAAAGCCGGTTTGGGAGTGGTCTGGGACCGGTCTGGAAGTTCTACCTGGTTTTTGAGCTTCCACAGCAGCAACAGCTTCTGCCCCAATATCTCAAACAAAGGAGCAACCACCTGGCAGAAGAGAAATGAAACATGATCCAGTAGATCCCGGTAGTCCAGTTACCCCAGCTCTTCGACCCACACAGTTGGGCCTCCCTGGTCCCGAGGCCTCCGGATGGACCAGTCATTCCGCGCAGAGAGCGGTGAGCCCCGAAGACCTCGACAGGCTTGATGCATCCCAAATTCATCCAACTCTACCAGAACTGGTACTGAATCGGATTGGTTGATTCCAATGCCAATATCTTCTTAATTATACTATCATATCATCATATCTATCATCATCTACAGTATCATCAAAGACTTCTCATGTGCCAACATGCCCTAACCATGGAAAATGTTGGTCCACATCACATCCGCTTTGAGCCGCAACCTAGGGGCAAGAAGCTAATAGGAGCAAAAGGCATCGCTACTAGGAACAGTGACGATACTAGGGGCTACTGGCCTTATATACTACTAGGAACAAGGACACTACTAGGGGCTCCTGGCCTTACTACTAGGAGCAAGAAGCTACTAGGAACAAGGACGCTACTGGGAGCAAAGGGCCTTGCGATGAGGGCTTCTCCGATTGAGCCCTCCGGAGTGGACGCTCAGCAGTCGCGCTGCGCGAGGGCCTCGTCGATCGAGCGAACTCGGTGCTTCGGGAGTCCGGAGTCCGAGAAAGGCGCCTCTCAAGTGTGGATCACTTTTGAGAAGACCCAAGGCACTTAACTTCTTAAGAGAATTGATGAGAATTGTCAATCTCAGTTCTCCAGCTTTCAGTAGATCTACACTGGGGTGAATGTATTGTTAGACAGCTCCTGCGACTGGCTTTCGAAGATGCCCCATCCAAAGTAAAAGTAATGCCTGTAAAGGTTGGTGCCACTTTCACCCTATCTGAAAGACACACCTGAAAGATCCTGGAAGAATCAACTCACCCATTCCGTGCGTGCGCGGTCAACCCTGCAGTGCGTGCCACCCTTCTTCGGCCTTCGACCGCTTTCTTCGCCCGGCTTTGGCACCACCGAGTCGACCTGGCGAGGGACGAAACACCGAAAGTCTTCGATCCGCCCAGTGAGGATCTGAGAAGTCGGCACGAGTGACGGTATTTATTTGGCGATACTTGTGCGCTTCGTTTGTACATTCAGAAGTTGGCTGGATACACAAATTTGCTGCACACTTACTGTACATGTGTTGCATGAGCTTTATGAGTGGCAGCATCTATTCACTACTAAATCTCAAATACACTATCTATTATGTAGGGGCCGGGGGTCATGTCACAGTATGTCGTTCAGACTACTTTCTTTACTAGCAAATCACAGTATCTAGTTCAGACTAATTTAGTGTCATCAAAAACAGTATTACGTTTGTGTGAGGGCCTTATCTCGTGCACCAGCAAATACTATTGGACAAACACATAGAGCATGCCGTAGACAGAATGAATACAAGTTGTTGCGCATATAGTATCATCTATATAGTTATAGTTGCATTCAGCCCAAAATTATCTTGACTCTTGCATGATCTTGCATCTTGAATCGACAGGAAGCGTACATCAATGGACTACCCCACACGACTGATGCGTTTCCATTGGACTCACCTCTGGAGGGTTCTGCGTATAGTTGTACGACCAAACAAGAAGAACAAGGAACCACTCTAAATCCTCCTGGTTTGTTCTAATGTTTGCCAGGCGGGGAACGTGTGTGCAATTGGAGTAGAGGCGCTCCCTTGGGTCCCGGAGGCGCTCCCTCTCTTTCTTGAACCGCGCAAAAGCGGTGCAAGTCTCCATGCTTCCATGTCAAGACTGGACCCTGCGTAGATCTTTGTAGTAGCTTCACAAAGACCGGACCCTGCGTATCATCTTTGACACAAAAACTTGTGTGGCTCCTATTCTGTCCAAGTTCTTCAGCCATGCGGCTCGGATGCGGCCCTGCGTGGTGGATTTGCAGTACCAATACCACACCCCACATCTCATTCACGTGAACCTAGTTTCGAGGCTAAAGCCATAACTACAGTGCAGCAAAGACTACTGACTAAATGGATCTAATCTATTTATAAATTTGCCTTTCTGCTGGGCAGTAGCTTGATGCTCTTCTTGGCACCGTTGCATGCAAAATCTCTTGGGTGTCCTCAAAAACAAAAGTCCATAAAACATCATAAAACTAAACTATGTGCCAAATCAAAAGGCATTACGTAAGTTGAAACATAAGTCGTCATGTTCCATAAATTCAAAACATGATAATAAGTACGTAGTTTGCAAAACACCAATTGCAAACACTCCACAAAACACCGTATTGACACCACACTTAGGCAACTATATTGAACAAAGTCTTCTTCGTAGATCTTTTAAGGCTGCGAGCAATCTCTCCACTGGCTGCCTCTACTGTAACAGGCGCGTCAGCCACCATGGCAGTCAGAAAGAGTTTGGCCAAGACTTCATTCAATCATTGGGATGCAGAATCAACCTCAAACGGTTTTACACTTGGATACATGATCTGATGATGCCACTTTGCCTCTTTGAAGTCATCTAGTTGTACCATCTTCCACTAAATGTTGCGTTCATGCTGGCCTGGTTGAACCCGATAGCTCATTCTTGCCTCTGTGACACAGCAAATCATCGTGAATCTGGCCTTTAGGAGCAACACAGCATGTCAAAGTGCCACCAAAACCAAGCTACTTCAGAATCAGTGCTTTGTCCAGAAGATGAGACGTTGACGGGCACATCACAAGAATGGCCCAAACCCACCTCCAACAACGAGCAAATGGGCAGTAGCCTCGATTTGTCATCGTCCTGCTCCTGCAAAGCTTTTTTGTCCCATGAATATGATCGAGAAGTAGCAAAAGAACATGTGTTCTTACCAAAAGCCATGAAGTTACCAAGGAAAAGTAGTGCCTCAGAAAGTCTGCAACACATTGCAAAACAACTTATCGTTTCAAAAGGTATGCCCGGTGCGCCTTCTCCTTCTATGCCAGACAGTACAGCGGTACACAATCGTTTGTTCACCCAATTAGTGATCACCTGCAGCCGGTCCTCGCTGAAAGCGCCTGGGACGTGTTTTCGGGTCCGTGCCCAAATCATCCACTCACTTGGCTCAAAAAAACAAGCACACCAGCTTGACCTGGTCTTGGGTCAAACTACACGACGTTGGTCCAGCCCCAAAAAACAGATTTAGGTGAAACTGAATCAGTGACCTACCTTGATTGTGAAATCCAGCATCCTCACGTGGTGAGAAACTTCTAAACTTGCCAAAACGGAATTGTCCCAAAGCAACACCAATTGAATCTAATTCAGCTGTCGCTGCCACCGTGCAACAACAAGTGCCAATTAAATTGAGAACCCAAACAAAACAGAACAACGAACACCCTAGATGGATGCGGCCTGCCATGACCAACGAAGCTAAGGTACATGAGTTCTTGCTTAACAAAGCTTCACAGACGCGGCTGATCTTGTGGTTCAGCTGTGGAAATATATATATATTTGTACATATATTTTTGCACATACAACAGGGGATTCAGGTCAATGTGGGATTCTGATGCATGCTATCCCCCAACGCCAGCGACATGGGCTTTTTGAACATGCTTTGGTTTGCTTTAGGGCATCAATGCAATTCAAACCATCAGGCCATGTCCTTCAATGAGTGTCAATCCAGAAACAGCACGGCTTCGCGGCGGAGCCGGAGGGTCGGTGCGGTCGATCTGCGCTGAGAGAAGCACAGGCAATGGCTCTGGCCGCCAGGGTCAGCGGAGACTCCTGGACATCCAATGATGCAAGTCTCTGCTGTAGAGCCAGTGAAAAGTGCCAGTGCATACAGTAGTATGAATATGTATATATATATATATGATAGTGTATATTATATAGGCAGACTCCACACTTACTTGTTGTAGTTACATTTATGTAACATTGTGTAACATTGGTCTTCAAGCTTTGGATGATGGATGGGTGGTGAGGATGACGCACTCACAGCATTGTGTCTGTCAACTGTGTTTTTTTACTCAGATACACGAATTTGTATCAATTTGTGAGAAATGCCCCATGCTTCAAAATAAATCTGACTCATAAAACCCACCATTCTTCGCATGTCTTCCTACAGTAGGTCTTTACAGTCATGCCTTCACAAGCCACTGGGACTCGTAGTCTGGCAGTCTGTTTCTTCCACTGGCCCCGATTATGCGATAGACAGCAAAACATGCCAACACGACTCCCAGGCGGTTGAGGCCACAGGGGTCTGCGCGTCGGGATAGCAAGAGCGTCACCATTCTGCAGCCTTGAGTGTCTGGGAAGTGATTATCATAACGCTTTGTTACTAGCAGCTTCTTGTTCCTAGTAGCGATGGCCTCCAACGTAATAATCGTAATAGCGATGGCCTCCACCTAGTAGCTTCTTGTTCCTAGTAGCGATGGCCTCCAACGTAATAGCGATGGCCTCCACCTAGTAGCTTCTTGTTCCTAGTAGCGATGGCCTTC